TCAGCTCTGGGCGGGAAGCAAAGAGCCTGGGCAACAGCCCGGCTGGGAGCAGGGAACGGGGAGCGAGGGGACAGCCTGGCTTGGAGCAGGGAGCCTGGGGAGCAGCCCGGCTGGGAGCGGGAGGACTTTTTTGTCAATTTCACGCAACTGTCTACACGGGCACTGTATTACCATAACTAAATTGACATCAGCCCTATGCCTCTCGTGGAGGTGGAGTTATTATGTCAGTTTAGCAGGGCACTTACATCAGTCGAGTAAGGCTGTAGTGTGTATACTGACATAGTTAGGTTGACTTAAGCTGCCTTATGTCAACCTAACTGTTTAGAGCAGATCAGGTCTAAAAGAGAGCTGGCTTTGTACCTGACATTATTGTCAGTGTCAGAAGAAACCTTGCCCTAGCCCTTCCCCAAAGCATAGAGTTTACCAGGGGAAATGCCACCAAATATATGCTGAAATTGCTCCTGGTCTTGGAGCACCCTATCAATTGGGTATGGGGAGATGTTGTTTTCCTGGGCTTGGTTTCTAAAGCCAAATGTCCCTCCTCCTTTGCTCAGGGTGGGGGGGTGGGATAGAATTTAAATCTGGATCCTGAGACAAATTTCATGGTTTGTCTGTTTATAATGCACTGAACCAAAATAATGCAGCCAAACACCCAAAAATATGTGAGGGACTGAGTCAAAAACTGGTTCCAATGTTGGAGCCTGTTTCTAGTAATAATTTATACCATTTGCAAGTGGTGGGCCAAAGACTGCAGCCCCTCCTCATCAAATATTCCCCTTGATGCCAATTTCAGTAAAGACTGAGTAAGTGATTTAATATAGTATCGTAGCCATAGGCCATTGCACACACTAAAATAAATAGAAAAAATAATTTAAAAAATAGTCAATAAAAAAGATACAAACTTTAAAAACACAGGACTAGCAATTCCCTAAAATCAGTTACACTTTAAAATCACCACCCTGAAAACAATATACAAAACTAAAATTAAAAAAAGAAAGAAAGAGGAATACATTATTTTGTTTAGGTCAGAAGTAGCCTATATGTCACAAACATTATCTATGCAGAATTTGGCCTTATATTATAAATATGAAGGAAGTCTAGAAATGTAGAAGGAAGATTTTCTTACTTAAACAATAACAAATGAAGAAGATGATCCCGATGATAATAATAACAATGAGGACAACAATCGTGCCCATGAGAATCTTTTGTCGGTCTAAGTTAGCCTCAGCCATTTTTTCTGTAGAACAAGACCAAAAAAAAAAAAGGTCATTAGTTACTGAAAATATCCAACAAATAGATTTGTCCTGATCCAGAAGTGCCTTTCTGTTTTAAAGATATAGAACGATTCTAGGTTGTTTGGGGTCTTTTGTTGTGTGTATTTGCTGGAAGCACCATTAAAATTATTTGACAAATGAAATGGATGAAATGGATACAGACCTGTCAAGATTTCAAAACAAACAAACAAACAAAGACGCACAGCATCATAATTTTTCATTTATTATTTTTGTTCCTCAATATTACATCAGAGAGGGTTTTTTTATGAAACAAATAGTTTTCACAACATACAAAATCTTTAAGCATAAAAAGGGGAAAGCTAATGTCTAAAACTGATTCACTAGGCTTGGGTGGTCAGGAATTTGTTAAATCCTCTGCAGAATTCCCTCATTTTAGGTTCTCAAAATGCACTTGTTCTCCTTTGACTTTCCTTAAAATTGTCACAGTGCCTAAAAGGGCTCTTGTCTGCAGACCACCAATGGTTCTTACCTTTTATTATTATGATCTTAATCATAATCTATCATAATGAACATGTTGGTGTCATTGAAAGAAGAGAACAAACAATGTAGACTTACCAGTGTTTTTCTCAAAAGTTTCTGGGGGGAAAAAAGAACAAAAAATTACACACGGTTTCCTCAAAACTGTGCATTCATATGTGTACACTGGGGTGGGAAAGAGATCAGACGCCCCAGTGAAGGACAGAGTGTACCCACATTTTACTAATCAAATACTTTCCATTGTGACAAAATGAATATTTCCTCTACTTTCTAAGAATCATTTGTGTCTGTTTTCTATGCAGAAAGGGGGAGACTTTTGGTGATCTTTCGCTAATCACTTATTTTCTTTTATGTGTTTGGGCAAATGGTGTGATAGGTGCATTGTGTTTAAGAAAGCTTGTTTTAAGAAATCAATAAAAGACCCCCCACACATGCTAACCAGCTTCCTGAAGGTTACCTGAAGTCACTGGGAGTTGTGGGTTCTTAGCACCTCAAATGCATCAAGCCCCTGTAAACTGGGGTTGGGGAAGGTCACACAGTTCATAGCTTATGCAGACTGAGATCATTGCATGCACCAGGGATCCTTGCATCTCTCCATCCGCGCACAATTACCTATGGGACCCCATCCCATTCCCCCCTATTTCAGGGAAAACCTGCAGCGATCCAACCTTTCCCCATGCCAGGGACTCTGTGTGTTCCCCCTTATACTCTGTCCCCATGCCAAGTGCCCCATGGCCCCTCCATGCCAGGTGTCCTGTGTGAATCCCCCTTACTCTTCTCTCCACATACCTCCCCAGACCCACCTGAGTGGCGTGGCTCAGAACACTGAACAGAAGTTCATGATCGTGCTCGGTTTTGGTCACAGGCTGCAGATCCTGCCCATCATTTGCAACCCAGTGGAGTTCAGGTTTGGAGGACCACCCTGTTGACCTGCAGGCTAGGCCTATTCTCTGGTGCTGGGGACCCAGCACATAAATGGACACAGGAGCAATAGTTAAAACAGGAAGACAGAGCTTGGGATGGGACTATCTTCAGGGAAACTGCATTGTCCCTTTGTTATGGCTTTATTTTTAAATCAGGGCACTGTCCCAATTTCTGTGTTTTTCCTACTGGAGTTCAAATAAATTCTTCACCTGCTTCTCCAGGGGATTCCAGATCATGGCGAGTCTCCACAGTAAATGGCAAGTTATATGGCTGCCTGGCCTCCAAAATGCTACAGGCCAATGCCAATGCTCAGGCCAGGTCTACACTCAAAAGTTTGGTCGACCCAGCTACATTACTCAGGGGGGTGAAAAATCCACACCCTTGAGTGGTGCAGTTAAACCGACATAACCCCAGTGTAGACAGCACTAGGTTGATGCAAGAATACTTCTGTCATGCTAGCTTTCACCTCTCGGGGAGATGGATTCACTACAGTGATAGGAGAACCACTCCTGTTGCTGTAGTACGTGTCTACACTGAAGACCACCAATGGTTCTTACCTTTTATTATGATATTACTCATAATCTATAATAATAATAATTTTGGTGTTATTAAAATTAGAGAACAAAGAATGCAGACTTACCAGTGTTGTTCTCAAAGGTTTCTGGGGGGAAAGATCTTATGCTCCTTTCTCTCTTCTTTTTTTTCTCTTTCAGTGTTTCTCCATTTTTAAATTCTATTGGGACACAGAGCAAAGATGAGATCGGGGAGTTGTTATGCTGAAATGTGATATTTATGCCATCAGCTGATTCTTTGATCTACAGACAATTATAGAAGTGGTTGAAAGTGCTAGCTCTGCTATCCAGGTGCTAGGCGAACCATGTGTCCTCCATTTCCCCTTTCCAGCTTTCAGATTTCCACCACAATTGACAGGGTTCTGCCCATTGATATCTAGAACATTCCCTGAAATTCTGGAATTCATCGGATGCAGCCTTCAAAAATTGTCATATTACATCTATTAACGCATAGGCCTGAAACTCTAAGTTATGCTAAAGGATAGTTAACCAAGAGTGCCGTCTAGCTTTGCAAAGTTAGGCTAAGAGAGATAATAAAAAGGTTAGCAAACAGAATTAACATGAACATCTGCAAATTTTGCCATCTCATTGTTCACCTTCTTTCCCAGATCATTTATGAAGATGTTGAACCGCACAGGTCCCCGCACAGATCCTTGGATGACCACACTATTTACCGCTCTCCCTTTTGAAAACTGACCACTTATTCCTTCCCTTTCTTTCCTGTCTTTAAACCAGTTACTAATCTATGAGAGGACCTTCCTTCTTATCCCATGATGGGTTACTTTGCTTAAGAGCCTTTGGTGAGGGACCTTGTCTAAGGCTTTCTCAAAATCCAGCTACACTGTATGCACTGCATCATCTTTGTCCACATGTTGACTCACTCAAAGCATTGGTGAGGCATGAGTTTCCTTTACAAAAGTTGCATTGACTCTTCCCCAAGATATTGTGTTCATCCAAGTGTCTGAGAATTCTGCGCTTTGCTATGGTTTCAATCAATTTGCCTGGTACTGAAGTTAGACATATCAGCCTGTAATTGCCCCGGATCACTTGTGAAGCCTTTTTTTAAATAAAAGTGTTGCTACATTAGCTATCGGCCAGTCATCTATTAAAGGCTGTTCTGGATAACACAGCTATTTTCTCCAGTTTCCTCTCCCAAGTACAGTGACGTGGCTCAGAACACTGAACAGAAGTTCACAATTCTGCTCTCTTTTGGTCACAGGCTGCAGATCCTGCCCATTCTTTGTAACCCAGTGGAGTTCAGGTTTGGGGAACCACCGCGTTGACCTGCAGGCTTGCTCAATTCCCTGGCCCTGGGGACCCAGCACATCAATGGACACAGAAGCAACAGCTAAAACAGGAAGACAGAGCCTGGGAAGGGACTATCCCCAGGGAAACAGCATTATAAGTGTTACCCCTTACCCTTCTCTTCAGATGCATCCCCATTCCCACCTTCCCACCCCCACAATCTTATTCTCCTTTCTCTCGTCTTTTCTTTCTCTTTCAGGCTAGACAGCACTAGCTGTATGCAAGAATTCTACTCTCAACCTAGCTTTCGCCTCTCAGGGTGATGGATTCACTACAGTGAAGGAAGAACCCCTCCTGTTGCTGTATTTTGTGTCTACACTGAAGTTCACCAATGGTTCTTACCTTTTCTTATTATGATGTTACTCATAATCTATCATAATAAACGTTTTGGTGTTATTGAAAGTAGAGAACAAAGAATGCAGACTTACCAGTGTTCTGCTCAGGGGTTTCTGGGATGGAAAATCTTACTCTCTTCTTTCCTTTCTCTCTCAGTGTTTCGCCATTTTTAAATTCTATTGGGACACAGGGAAAAGATGAGATGGGGGAGCTGTTATGCTGAAAAGTGTTATTTATGCCATCAACTGGTTCTTTGCTCTAGAGATAATTATAGAAGGAGTTGAAAGTGCTATGCTAGCTCTTCTATCCAGGCGCTTGGCGATCCATGTGTCCTCTATTTCCCCTTTCCAGTTTGCAGATTTCCACCAAAATTGACAGGGTTCTGCCCATTGATATCTAGAACACTCCCTGAAATTCTGGAATTGAGCGGCTACAGCCTTCAAAAATTGTCATATTACATCTATTAACACAGAGGCCTGAAACTCTAAGTTACGCTAAAGAATAGTTAACCAAGAGTGCCGTCTAGCTTTGCAAAGTTAGGCTAAGAGAGATA